TATTTTAACCAATTTCTCCTAATTTTAGTCTTTATTCTGTGACATGCATCTTTGAATTTTGTTTTTTATTCTGTCTGATGCATTTACTCTTTTTGTATGAATTGATAGTCTCTATTTTACAATCACTCAGTATGTATACATTTCTAATAATAATTTCTTATTTATCTTTACTTCTTTTTTTTTATTTGGCCCGCACTTATAATTATTTTTAAATATCCTTATTTAACTTAGTACCTTGATCTCACTTCTACTGCACTGATCTCTGAAAATTTTCTCCTTCTCTTTCACACAGACATCAAAATGCAAAAGCCTATAAAAGATCTTGATTCAATTTTTATTGATACTATTTTCCTAAACACATTCACACTTCTACTCCCTTTATCCAGACAGGGCTCATTCTTTCATTCTTTTTCCCTTTATCTAGAGGGATCATCATTCATTCATCCCTCTCGGGTGTGGCAAGAGCCGAGTCCTCACTCTGTCAGGAGGGGGCGCAGCTCGTACCCACCCAATACGGAATTTATTTATTTTTTCATACATTCACCATGACTTATACGGACATGCATACGGACACAGACACAGTTTCAGTCTCATACAACAAAACACTACACTCTTCTTCGATTGACCTACAGTGCTCTCGCTCTTTCACTGATTAATCTCCCTCAACTCAGTAAAAAAATCAGCGCCCAGCAGGGATTTTTGCCTACCCGTGCAGTCCTTTGAGCCTCCTTACACCTTTTTCTTTCTCAAAGCGGCATCCGTAGGACTTGCGCACTTTCCTATACTATATCTGCTTCATTGCTGCTGTCCTTTTAGGTCCCGACTACAATAACCACAGACCATTGCATGCAATGTATTTTTGCCTACACCATCCAGTTTCAATTTAGGTCACCTATCAAGGCCTTCCTAACAGTAACTGGATATATAAATGGTTATAGTCATAAATGATTACACTCGAACAATTCATATTTTAACCAATAAAAATCTTCGAAAGTAGCCAGCCTGTCCTGGTTGTCCACTAGGCTGGGACACAGTTTGGTAGCTGGCTTGTGCTGACTGCTGGCCAAGACTTGAACTCATGATGGGCCTGCCACCAGAAAATAGCTTGGAACCAACTTGAAGTCTACTTCTCTGGGGCTTGACAAAGGACTGGGCATTAGCTAACAGTTGACCACTGGACTGAGAGCCAGTCTGCACTGGTTGCTGGCTATTAGAGGCCACAGACTCATTACTAGTCTGCACTAAAGTTTGATAGTTAAACTGTGCTGGCTTGGGTACAGTCTTACTTCTCACACTTGTACTCAATGCAGTGGCTAGAGAACCAGAAACAAAACTGCCACCTGAAGATATCAGAGAGCCTGGATTTTGCCTTCTAACATCAGATTCAGAACCAATGTTATATACACTTGTCACAGGACCAGAGCCGTAGGAGCCAGTTTGAGGGCTATAGCTTACACTGTTATTTACACTAGGGATGCACTGATACCACTTTTTCCAATACTCGCCCGATACCGATACTTTTATTTTTGGTACTTGCCGATACCGAGTTCCGATACCAATATTTTATTGCATTTGTACATTTTTTAAATATTGGGTACAGAAACCAAAAGGGTATGTATAATGTTAGTTGGTTAACTTCATTTATCAAATAGATACAGTCAAACCAAAATTTATTCAGACACCTTCAACATTTCTCACATTATCACAGTTTATTCGCTATAGTTTAGAAAATGGTAATAAAATATGACAATAACTCAGAAATAAACTGTGTCAGAACAAATTCATCTTGATAATGTTAGATAATTTTGATAGAACGGTATGTAATAGATTACAATCAACCAAAATATTTCAGACAGCTGTTAGTATAACAGTATTTACACAACTATCAATACTTAGTCGGGCAACCCTTAGCCTTAATGACAGCCTGTAGTCTCCTGGGCATGCTGTCATCCAGCTTCATGAAAACCTCAACTTCAATGTTTTTCACAGAATCGGTCTGAATAATTTTTGGACCCAAATTTGTATCAATTTTACTGGTAGTCCACTGTATGAAGAATTTTTGGGTATGATTTGTCACAGTTTACTTTATTTTGCTATCCTCACTTACATAAATGAACTATAGTGTCCTGCACCCACTAGTAAAAAAATATAAAAAAT